CTCCCAAACTCAAGGTCAATGCCCACCAAACCCTTCTAGTGTTTTATGTTGGTCATGGGAGTCCTGTGTGCCATTTGGTTCAATTCCATCATTGGTGGAGTTCAGAATGCTCTTTGATTGTAGGTGAACTATAAATCCCAGCAACTACAACTCCCAAATGACAAAATCATAATTTTTGAGTGATGGTCACTCCTGTGTTGTGAGACGTTTTGTTCCCAAATTTGGTGTGATTTCGTTCATTGGTTCTTTTGTTTTTAAGGTACTCATTATGCACAGAGCATTTTTATAGATATAGATAGATTATTATTATTATTATTATTATTATTATTATTATTATTATTATTATCCAGGGTGGGAGAAAGAACCCTTGTCTGTTGGAGTCAGGTATGACTCTTGCAGTTGGCTACCTTGATTAGCATTGAATGGCCTTGTAGCTTCAAAGCCTGGCTGGTTGCTGCCTGGGGAAAACAAAGAAATTCCAGAGAAGAGTCAGTCAGGGCCAGCTAATATCTCCCATCAAAGGATCCCCCAGGCAGCAAGTAGCCAGGCTTTGAAGCTGCAAGGCCATTCAGTGCTAATCAAGGTAGCCATTTGCAACATTTAACACCTCCCAACAAAGGATCCTCCCAGGCAGCAACCAGCCAAGCTTTGAAGCTGCAAGGCCATTCAATGCTAATCAAGGTAGCCAACTGCAACATTCACACTTGCCTCAAGCAAAGAGCAACACTTAAAAAGCAGGGGAATTCCAGAAAAGAATCAATCAGGGCCAGCTAACACCTCCCAACAAAGGATCCTCCCAGGCAGCAACCAGCCAGGCTTTGAAGCTGCAAGGCCATTCAATGCTAATCAAGGTAACCAACTGCAACATTTAATTGCCTGGCTGGTTGCTGCCTGGGGAAAACAGCGGGATTCCAGACATGAACCAATCAGGGCCAGCTAACACCTCCCAACAAAGGAATCTCCCAGGTAGCAAGCAGCCAGGCTTTGAAGCTGCAAGGCCATTCAGTGCTAATCAAGGTAGCCAACTGCAACATTTAATTGCCTGGCCAGTTGCTGCCTGGGGAAAATGGGGATTCCAAACAAGAATCAATCAGGGCCAGCTAACACCTCCCAACAAAGGATCCTCCCAGGCAGCAAGCAGCCAGGCTTTGAAGCGGCAAGGCCATTCAATGCTAATCAAAACAAGTTCCCAGCCAGCTGAAGCAAATCATGGGGGTATTTTGCAATTTTTAGCTTTCCAAACTGAGATGAGTAAACGGGTTGAAGTCACTGCAAATATCATTTTAATCATTACTGAACCGGAATGTGGGACGAGAGGATGTTTGCACGTCTGTGAGTACATTTCTGAAAAGTGTAAGATAAGAACGCCTTGGGATCGGATCAGGAGGATGAACATCAGACACGCTTAAGGCCGCTGAACTTGACTTTTGTGTACATATACACAGATGCAGATATTCCAAAATCTGGGGGGGAAAATCCAAGGGTTTTTTGTTCCCAAGGCTTTCAAATAAATGAAGGGATTCTCAACCTGTACCATAAGGGCAGTTGCTAGGTGAAGTAGCCTTCTATGATGTCACTGGACTGGCTGTTGCTAGGTAAAGGATTGACTGTCGCTAGGTGAAGTGGCCCTCTGGTGCCACCAGACTGGCTGTTGCTAGGGAAAGGATTGACTGTCAGTAGGTGAAGTGGCCCTCTGATGTGTCTGGATTAGTTTTTGCTAGGTGAAGTGGCCCTCTGATGTCACTGGACTGACTGTTGCTAGGTAAAAGATTGGCTGTCAGTAGCTGAAGTGGCCCTCTGATGTGTCTGGATTGGCTGTTGCTAGGTAAAGGGTTGACTGTCACTAGGTGAAGTGGCCCTCTGGTGTGACTGGACTGGCTGTTGCTAGGTGAAATGGTCCTCTGATGTCACTGTACTGGCTGTTGCTAGGTAAAAGATTGGCTGTCAGTAGGTGAAGTGGCCCTCTGATGTGTCTGGATTAGTTTTTGCTAGGTGAAGTGGCCCTCTGATGTCACTGGACTAGCTGTTGCTAGGTAAAAGATTGGCTGTCAGTAGGTGAAGTGGCCCTCTGATGTGTCTGGATTGGCTGTTGCTAGGTAAAGGGTTGACTGTCACTAGGTGAAGTGGCCCTCTGGTGTGACTGGATTGACTGTTGCTAGGTGAAGTGGCCCTCTGATGTCACTGTACTGGCTGTTGCTAGGTAAAATTTGGCTGTCAGTAGGTGAAGTGGCCCTCTGATGTCGCTGGACTGGCTGTTGCTAGGTAAAGGATTGACTGTCACTAGGTGAAGTGGCCCTCTGGTGTGACTGGACTGGCTGTTGCTAGGTGAAATGGTCCTCTGATGTCACTGTACTGGCTGTTGCTAGGTAAAAGATTGGCTGTCAGTAGGTGAAGTGGCCCTCTGATGTGTCTGGATTAGTTTTTGCTAGGTGAAGTGGCCCTCTGATGTCACTGGACTAGCTGTTGCTAGGTAAAAGATTGGCTGTCAGTAGGTGAAGTGGCCCTCTGATGTGTCTGGATTGGCTGTTGCTAGGTAAAGGGTTGACTGTCACTAGGTGAAGTGGCCCTCTGGTGTGACTGGATTGACTGTTGCTAGGTGAAGTGGCCCTCTGATGTCACTGTACTGGCTGTTGCTAGGTAAAATTTGGCTGTCAGTAGGTGAAGTGGCCCTCTGATGTCGCTGGACTGGCTGTTGCTAGGTAAAGGATTGGCTGTCACTAGGTGAATTGGCCCTCTGATGTTGCTGGACTGGCTGTTGCTAGGTAAAGGATTGGCTGTCAGTAGGTGAAGTGGCCCTCTGATGTCCCTGGACTGGCTGTTGCTAGGTAAAGGATTGGCTGTCACTAGGTGAAGTGGCCCTCTGATGTCACTGTACTGGCTGTTGCTAGGTAAAAGATTGGCTGTCAGTAGGTGAAGTGGCCCTCTGATGTGTCTGGATTAGTTTTTGCTAGGTGAAGTGGCCCTCTGATGTCACTGGACTAGCTGTTGCTAGGTAAAAGATTGGCTGTCAGTAGGTGAAGTGGCCCTCTGATGTGTCTGGATTGGCTGTTGCTAGGTAAAGGGTTGACTGTCACTAGGTGAAGTGGCCCTCTGGTGTGACTGGATTGACTGTTGCTAGGTGAAGTGGTCCTCTGATGTCACTGGACTGGCTGTTGCTAGGCAAAGATTGACTGTCACTAGGTGAAGTGGCCCTCTGGTGTGACTGGATTGGCTGTTGCTAGGTGAAGTGGTCCTCTGATGTCACTGAACTGGCTGTTGCTAGGTAAAAGGCTGGCTGTCACTAGGTGAAGTGGCCCTCTGATGTCACTGGACTGGCTGTTGCTAGGTAAAGGATTGACTGTCACTAGGTGAAGTGGCCCTCTGGTGTGACTAGATTGACTGTTGCCAGATGAAGTGGTCCTCTGATGTCACTGGACTGGCTGTTTCTAGGTAAAGATTTGGCTGTCACTAGGTGAAGTGGCCCTCTGATATCACTGGACTGGCTGTAACTAGGTAAAGAATAGGTGAAGTGGCCCTTTGATGTGTCAGGATTGGCTGTTGCTAGTTGAAGTGGCCCTCGGACGCCACTGGACTGGCTGTTGCTAGGTAAAGAATTGGCTGTCAGTAGGTGAAGTGGCCCTCTGGTGTGACTGGATTGGCTGTTGCTAGGTGAAGTGGCCTCTGATGTCACTGGACTGTTGCTAGGTAAAAGATTGACTGTCACTAGGTGAAGTGGCCCTCTGGTGTGACTGGATTGACTGTTGCTAGATGAAGTGGTCCTCTGATGTCACTGGACTGGCTGTTTCTAGGTAAAGATTTGGCTGTCACTAGGTGAAGTGGCCCTCTGATATCACTGGACTGGCTGTTGCTAGGTAAAGAATTGGCTGTCAGTAGGTGAAGTGGCCCTCTGATGTGTCTGGACTGGCTGTTGCTAGGTAAAGAATTGACTGTCACTAGGTGAAGTGGCCCTCTGGTGTGACTGGATTGACTGTTGCTAGGTGAAGTGGCCCTCTGATGCCACTGGACTGGCTGTTGCTAGGTAAAGGATTGACTGTCAGTAGGTGAAGTGGCCCTCTGATGCCACTGGACTGGCTGTTGCTAGGTAAAGGATTGACTGTCAGTAGGTGAAGTGGCCCTCTGATGCCACCGGACTGGCTGTTGCTAGGTAAAGAATTGGTTGTCACTAGGTGAAGTGGCCCTCTGATGTGTCTGGATTAGTTTTTGCTAGGTGAAGTGGCCCTCTGATGTCACTGGACTGACTGTTGCTAGGTAAAGGATTGGCTGTCAGTAGGTGAAGTGGCCCTCTGATGTGTCTGGATTGGCTGTTGCTAGGTAAAAGATTGACTGTCACTAGGTGAAGTGGCCCTCTGGTGTGACTGGATTGACTGTTGCTAGGTGAAGTGGTCCTCTGATGTCACTGGACTGGCTGTTTCTAGGTAAAGATTTGGCTGTCACTAGGTGAAGTGGCCCTCTGATATCACTGGACTGGCTGTTGCTAGGCAAAGATTGACTGTCACTTGGTGAACAGGATTGGCTGTTGCTAGTTGAAGTGGCCCTCGGACGCCACTGGACTGGCTGTTGCTAGGTAAAGATTTGGCTGTCACTAGGTGAAGTGGCCCTCTGATATCACTGGACTGGCTGTTGCTAGGCAAAGATTGACTGTCACTTGGTGAAGTGGTCCTCTGATGTTTCTGGATTAGCTTTTGCTAGTTGAAGTGGTCTTCTGATGTCACTGGACTGGCTGTTGCTAGGTAAAGGATTGCCTGTCACTAGGTGAAGTGGCCCTCTGATGTCACCGGGAAGGAAAGGTGACATAAGTATGAAGGGAAGGGAGGGAGGAAGGAAATAGTCATATTGACGTGGGGAGGTTGGCCTTTTCAGAGCTGTAGAAGGGAGAAAGAAGGCCGGCAGTGATCGCAATGCCGGTCCCGAGGATTTCGGATAAGGGACACTCAACCTGCTTATTTGGGGGGGAGATGAAAGCGTTCCCCTCCTTTTGACGACCTTGTTGTCCTTTTCAGGAGCCTTTGCCAAGGTGAAGGAGAGCCAGCGGATGAGCGACGAAGGCCGGATGGAGCAGGACGAGGCGGACGGGATCCGGAAGCGCTGCCGTGTGGTGGGCTTCGCTCTCCAGGCGGAGATGACCCACTTCCACGAGCGGCGGGTCTCGGACTTCAAGAAGATGATGCAGTCGTACCTCAGGCAGCAGATCCTCTTCTACCAGAGGGTCAGCCAGCAGCTGGAGAAGACCCTGCGCATGTACGACAACCTCTAGCCACCCCCTCCCGGAATAAACAAACGCCGGCCCTTTAAGGCCAGGGACGTCGTGCTCTCAACTTGGGCAACCTTCGGCCCTCCAGGTGTTTTGGACTACAACTCCCACAATTCCTAACAGCCGGTAGGCTGTTAGGAATTGTGGGAGTTGAAGTCCAAAACACCTGGAGGGCCGAAGGTTGCCCATGCCATGTTCCAGAAGCACTCTCTCCTGACGTTTTGCACACATCTATGGCAGGCATCCTCAGAGGTTGTGAGGTCTTTTGGAATCTAGGAAAATAAGTTTTAATATCGGTGGAATGATGTCCAGGGAGGGAGAACGGACTCTTGTCTGTTTGAGGCAAGTGTGAATGTTGCAATTGGCCAGCTTTATTAGCATTGAATGGCCTTGCAGCTTCAAAGCCTGGCTGGATGTTGTCTGGGAGGATCCTTTGTTGGGCCTGATTGATTCATGTCTGGAATTCGCCTGTGTTCCCCAGATAGCAACCATTGGCAATTAAATGTTTGAATTGGCGACCTTGATTAGCATTGAATAGACTTGCAGCTTCAAACCTGGCTGGTTGCTGCCTGGGAGGATCATTTGTTGGGAGGTGTTAGCTGGCCCTGATTGATTCTTGTCTGAAATTCCCCTGTGTTCCCTAGGTAGCAACCAGCCAGGCAGTTAACTGTTGCAGTTGGTGACCTTGATTAGCATTGAATGGCTTTGCCTCTTCAAAGCCTGGCTGGTTGCTGCCTGGGAGGATCCTTTGTTGGGATATGTTAGCTGGCCCTGATTGATTCATGTCTGAAATTCCCCTGTGTTCCCCAGGCAGCAACCAGCCAGGCAATTAAATGTTGCAGTTGGCTACCTTGATTAGAATTGAATGGCCTTGCAGCTTCAAAGCTTGGCTGCTTGCTGCCTGGGAGGATCCTTTGTTGGGAGGTGTTAGCTGGCCCTGATTGATTCTTGTCTGAAATTCCCCTGTGTTCCCCAGGTAGCAACCAGCCAGGCAATTAAATGTTGCAGTTGGTGACCTTGATTAGCATTGAATGGCCTTGCAGCTTCAAAGCCTGGCTGGTTGCTGCCTGGAAGGATCATTTGTTGGGAGGTGTTAGCTGGCCCTGATTGATTCTTGTCTGAAATTCCCCTGTGTTCCCCAGGTAGCAACCAGCCAGGCAGTTAACTGTTGCAGTTGGTGACCTTGATTAGCATTGAATGGCTTTGCCTCTTCAAAGCCTGGCTGGTTGCTGCCTGGGAGGATCCTTTGTTGGGATATGTTAGCTGGCCCTGATTGATTCTTGTCTGGAATTCCCCTGTGTTCTCTACGCAGCAACTAGCCAGGCAATTAAATGTTGCAATTGGCTACCTTGATTATCATTGAATGGCCTTGCTGCTTCAAAGCCTGGCTGGTTGCTGCCTGGGAGGATCCTTTGTTGGGAGGTGTTCACTGGCCCTGATTGATTCAATTCTGGAATTCCCGTGTTCCCCAGGCAGCAACCATTAAGGCAATTAAATGTTCGAATTGGCCACCTTGATTAGCATTGAATAGCCTTGCCTCTTCAAAGCCTGGCTGCTTGCTGCCTGGGGCATCCTTTGCTGGGAGGTGTTAGCTGGCCCTGTTTTATTCTTCTCTGGAATCCCCTTGTTTTCCAGACAAAAATAGATCAGGGTCGTCTTAACACCTCCCAACAAAGGATCATCCCAGGTAGCTACCAGCCAGGCTTTGAAGCTGCAAGGTCATTAAATGCTAATCAAGGTGGCCAACTGCAACAGTCATACAAAGAGTTCTTTCTCTCACCCTGGACATTATTCCACAGATACATAAACCCTATTATCCTAGTTTCCAACAGACCTCACAACCCTTACCATAGATGCAGGTGAAACGTCAGGAGAGAATGCTTCTGGAACATGGCCAGATAGTCCGGAAGACTCACAGCGACCCAATGGTCACGACGGATTGGAGGAGGACGAATGGGACACAAGGGCGATCCCAAGGAATGGGACTTCCTTCCATGTCAAGACAGGGTCTTCCAGCTTTCCCGGCTGCAGTGTTTACAAAAAGAGACCTCAAAGCGAACCTGTATCAGGAACTTCGAAACGGGACGCTGTATTCGTTTTATTCGGATTGGGGACCCCCCTTCTCCACTTCCCTCTCTTTCTTCTCAGGCTTGATTTTTCTAGAATGACACCATTGAAGAGATCATAAACACCCCCTTCTTCTCTTTCCCCCAAATCAGTGGAATCAGGATCACTTTGCACACTTGGAGATCTAGAACATTTGTGAGGGCAAAGGGTAGATTTCTATTTTTGGCGCACCAAAACGGATCTTTTAAAGAACTGCCACACATCTTTGTACATGGAGATAACTGTGGAATTGTTGTTATTTTTTTTTTGTATCCTGAGTTCAAAAACAACACTTGGAAATGGCTTTTGTATATTTTCCTTTATTTCTGGGGTTCGGTTGCAGGTGAGATTGTTTCGTTGCTTTTTGCACCAAAGCAGCGATGAATGTGGAACAAGGCAAAACAAACAAACAAAACAAACAAACAAAAACAAATAAGGTAAAGTACAGGTTTCCCCTTGATGTTAAGTCTACTCCAGTGTTTCTCAACCTGGGGGTCGGGAACCCTGGGGGGGTCGCGAGGGGGTGTCAGAGGGGTCGCCAAAGACAATTAGAAAACACAGTATTTTCTGTTGGTTGTGGGGGTTCCGTGTGGGAGGTTTTGCCCAATTCTATCTTTGGTGAGGTTCAGAATGCTCTGTGATTGTAGGTGAACTATAAATCCCAGCAACGCCAACTCCCCACATGTCAAGGTCTATTTCCCCCAAACTCCATCTGTATTTAGATTTGGGCATATTGAGTATTTGTGCCAAGTTTGGTCCAGATCCATCATTGTTTGAGTCCACAATGCTCTCTAGATGTAGGTGAACTACAACTCCCAAACTCAAGGTCAAACCCTTCTAGTGTTTTCAATTGGTCATGGGTGTCCTGTGTACCAAGTTCGGTTCAATTCTATCATTGGTGGAGTTCAGAATGCTCTTTGATTATAGGTTAACCATAAATCTCAGCCACTACAACTTCCAAATGTCAAGGTCTATCTTCCCCAAACCGCACCAGTGTCCAATTTTGGGCATATTGAGTATTCACTTCACTTTATTTCTTAATTAGTCGCTCTCCACCAAGGTGCTCCGAGCAAACTTACAATCTAAAATAGCATTTACACAATATAAAAACATTCAACATAAAAACATTCAACAGTGACTATTTGGCAAATTAGATCTGATTACTTAAATGCACAACCAAACAGCCAAGTCTTGAGTGCCTTTACAAAAGGTCGCAACTCCGACATTGCTCTAATGTATGGAGGCAATGAGTTCCACAGAATTGGAGCATAGGTCGAAAAAGCTCTACGCCTTGTAGCTTCCAAGTGTGCCTCCCTAGGACCGGGGATGTATAGGAGATTTTCCTGGGTGGATCGAGGTGACCACTGATGGAGAAAAGGAATGAGGCGGTCCCTAAGATAGAAAGGTCCTTGGCCATTTTGAGCTCTAAATGTCAGGATCAGTATCTTGTAAGAGATCCGATGTTCTATTGGTAGCCAATGCAGTCGTTGCAGAATCGGTGTGATATGGGATCTTATAGATGATCCCGCTAGCAGCCTGGCCGCTGCATTTTGGACCATCCGAATAAGGCATTGCAATAGTCCAACCTCGTGGTGACTTGCGTGGATTACTGTTGCGTGGATTACTGTTGCCAATAGGTTCTTGTGGGTTTCTTCAGGCTATAGGGCCATGTTCTAGAGGCATTTCTTCTGACGTTTCGCCTGCATCTATGGCAAGCCAACCTCGTGGTGACTGTTGCGTGGATTACCGTTGCCAATGCTTCTACCGAAAGGTAGGATGCCAATTTCCTTGCCTGGCGAAGATGAAAAAAGGCCTGCTTCCTTATGGCAGTGATCTGGGCCTCCATCGTCAGCGATGAGTCCAACACAACCCCAAGGCTTTTAACAGTGGCAGACGGAACCAGAGCTTCCCCATCGAAATCAGACAGAGACTGGGTTAATTCTGGTGGCTGGCCGGGCCAGAGTATCTCTGTTTTTGCAGGATTCACTTTTAGTCTTCTCGCTCGCAGCCAACTCATCACTGCTTCCAAACACAGCCTAAAGTTCTCAGGAATCGCGGTTGTCCCAGGTTCGAGACGCAAGAGTAGCTGGGTATCATCTGCATACTGGTAGCACTCTATGCCAAAGCTCCGCACCAGTCCAGCAAGTGGTCGGATGTAGATGTTAAATAACAGGGGTGAGAGGATAGCACCCTGGGGAACTCCACAGCAAAGGCAGGAGCTCTCAGAGCTTTGGCCTCACCACTCCACCCTTTTGTCTCTGGTCCTGGAGGAACAAATTGAACCATTTCAGGGCTAAACCTTGTACACCAGACAGAGCCAATCGATGAATCAGCAAGTCATGGTCCACGGTGTCGAATGCAGCTGTGAGGTCCAAGAGTACCAATAGCGCTGATCCACCTTGGTCTAACTGACGACGAATTTCGTCAGTAATAGCTACCAAGACAGTCTCTGTCCCATGACCTGAACGAAAGCCTGATTGAAAGGGGTCCAAACCTGCAGTCTCACCTAAGAATTGCTGCAGCTGCCCCGCCACTGTCCGTTCAGTCACCTTGCCCAAAAATGGAAGGTTTGAAACTGGGCGATAGTTACTAGGTATGGCGGCATCTAGGCTTGGTTTTTTCAAGAGAGGGTGGACCACTGCTTCTTTAAGGCAATCTGGAAAAATTCCTTGCTCCAAGGAACTGTTGATGTTCCTTAAGGGATCTCGCAGTCCCTCCCAGCACTCCTTAACCAACCGGGAGGGGCAAGGATCGAGGGAGCAGGTGGTTGGTCTTGCTATTCATGCCAAGCTTGGTCCAGATGTGGGTAAACTACAACTCCAAAACCCAAGGTCAATGCCCACCAGATATTTCTAGTATTTTCTGTTGGTCATGGTAGCTCTGTGTCCAAAGTTTGGTTCAATTCCATCGTTGGTGGAGTTCAGAATGCTCTTTGATATTGTAAGTGAACTATAAATCCCAGCAACTACAACTTCCAAATGACAAAATCAATCCTCCCCTCAATCCCAAATTTGGGCGTATTGAATATTTGTGCCAAATGAATGAAAATACATCCTGCATATCGGATATTTACAAGATGATTCATAACAGGAGCAAAATTATAGTTGTGAAGCAGCAATGAAAATAATGTTATGGTTGGGGGTCATCACAACATAAGGAACTGTATTAAGGGGTCCCGGCATAAGGAAGGTTGAGAACCACTGGTCTAGTCGAATCCGATTCTGGGACTTCGGTGCTCATCTCCATTTCTAAGCCAAAGAGTTGGCATTGTGTCACGAATGACTTTTCAATGACTTTAAAGCAGGGGTCCCCAAACTTTTTGAACAGAGGGCCGGGTCACAGTCCCTCAAACCGTTGGAGGGCCAGATTATAATTTGAAAAAAAACCAAACATGAATGAATTCCTATGCACACCTCACATATCTTATTTGTAGTGCAAAAAAACTCTTTAAATAATACAATAATTAAAATGAAGAACTAGTTTAACAAATATAAACTTAGCAGTATTTATTTGTCGTGTCAGAGCAACCAGTCCATTATATTACATTTCTAACAGAACAAAGCAAACAAATAGAAAAATACAAAACTTGTGAGTTTGGTAGTTGGTTAAATGTCCTTTGACCAGTATCTGGCCACTTGGAGTGCTTCCGGTGTTGCTGCAAGAAGGTCCTCCATCGTGCATGTGGCAGGGCTCAGGTTGCATTGCAGCAGGTGGTCAGTGGTTTGCTCTTCTCCACACTCGCATGTCGAGGATTCCACTTTGTAGCCCCATTTCTGAAGGTTGGCTCTGCATCTCGTGGTGCCAGAAGCGCAGTCTGTTCAGTGCCTTCCAAGTCGCCCAGTCTTCTGTGTGCCCAGGAGGGAGTCTCTCATTTGGTATCAGCCATTGGTTGAGGTGCTGGGTTTGAGCCTGCCACTTTTGGACTCTCGCTTGCTGAGGTGTTCCAGCGAGTGTCTCTGTAGATCTTAGAAAACTATTTCTAGATTTAAGTCGTTGACGTGCTGGCTGATACCCAAACAGGGGATGAGCTGGAGATGTCTCTGCCTTGGTCCTTTCACTATTGGCTGCTACTTCCCGGCGGATGTCAGGTGGTGCAATACCAGCTAAGCAGTGTAATTTCTCCAGTGGTGTAGGGCGCAGACACCCCGTGATAATGCGGCATGTCTCATTAAGAGCCACATCCACTGTTTTAGTGTGGTGAGATGTGTTCCACACTGGGCATGCATACTCAGCAGCAGAGTAGCACAGCGCAAGGGCAGATGTCTTCACTGTATCTGGTTGTGATCCCCAGGTTGTGCCAGTCAGCTTTCGTATGATATTGTTTCTAGCACCCACTTTTGCTTGATGTTCAGGCAGTGCTTCTTGTAGGTCAGAGCACGGTCCAGAGTGACTCCCAGGTATTTGGGTGCGCTGCAATGCTCCAGTGGGATTCCTTCCCAGGTGATCCTCAGAGCTCGGGATGCTTGTCTGTTCTTAAGGTGAAAGGCACATGTCTGTGTTTTTAGATGGATTAGGGATCAGTTGGTTTTCCCTGTAATAGGCAGTAAGAGCACCTAGAGCTTCGGAGAGCTTCTGTTCAACCATCTCAAAGCTCCCTGCTTGAGCAGTAATGGCACGATCATCAGCATAGATGAAACTCTCTGTCCCTTCTGGCAGTGGCTGGTCATTTGTGTAGATGTTGAACATGGATGGAGCAAGCACGCTCCCCTGAGGCAAGGCCGTTCTTCTGTTTCCGCCATCTGCTTCTCTGGCCCTGGAACTCAACAAAAAAGCTCCTGTTTTGTAGCCGGCCACATGACCTTGGAGGTGTAAAAAAGCCCATAAAAAAAACAAATAGGAATTTCAAACGCAGTGACACGTTGCATTGTTTTGCCAAGTTGCAAAGGAAAGATTACCGTTCTCTCTTGCGCATACTATCGATTCATTCCAAGGAGCTAGTCCTCACTGTTGCCACAATTTTAGGCATATTTAAAGCTATCCAGGTTGCAATTCAGGAAGGCATTTTTGTTGAAAAGTGTGTGGAGCGTAACGTCTTTCTTTCTGATGTTTTGTTTCTTCGAGACTCCTTAACCAAAGGAAGGAATTTTTGGAAAGGCATCCGGAGCAAGGGCACGTCCTTTAACATAAATTGTTTTCGGCCTTCGGGGAGAGAAAGGAGCCGTTGCTGTCAACACCCACTGGTTCATAAATGGGCCGAGTGCGTGGGGTTTGTTTTCACAGGGAAATGTTGGGAATCAATTGAAAGCACAGAAAGGAAACCAGGCTTGGATTTCGTCCAGAACGTCATTCCGAACCAGAAAAAC